GACCAATAGTGTACAACCACTGTGAGAGAAAGGTGAAACAAACCCTATTTAGAGAGTGCAATAGACAACCTGAGATCCTTTGCAACAATGAGTAAAAGGAGCCGAGCTTAGAGTTTCAAATTTCTATTAGATTAGTAAAGCGCAAGTTAGGGGGAGCGCGGGGATTCTCATTCCTCAAGAAAGGTAGTACCCTCTGCTAGTACAGATCAATCCTTGACATAATATAGGTAGAAAGCAGATGCAAAGGCTTTACTATTTTGAATTATTATTTTTATTAGTAATACTTTATAAATTTATTTTTTATTTTTATAACAATATGTAACAATATCAAATATTTTTCTAAAACAATAAATTCAACTAAATTTAAAATTGAAAAATAAAATTATAGTCCATATAATTGAGAAACATTAAAATAATTTTAATTTGCCTTTAATGCATCGGAAATGCAGCAATTTGGTTCCTAAATTTATTTTTGAAATATTAATAAATTTAGGATATAAAATATTCAAATTAGTTGATTAGGATTAAATTTGACATTAGAATTAGGGAAAATTGCAGCCACGGTACTAAATCTTTCATTTTATGCAGACTTGATCCAAACCTTTAATTTGTGACACCCACGGTACCAAACATTTCAAAAACTCTCACCCGGAGTCCAAATGGATTTTTTTGTTAGTTTGACCATTAGTTGACCAGATAATTGACCTTAGCCATAATTTTGACTAATTTTAAAAGGTTAAAATGATAACTTAATTTTAAAAGGTTAAAATGATAACTTTACATTTTTTTCAACAAAATCACAATTATAATATATTAATTATTAAATTTTAAAAAAATCAAAACAAAAACCACCCACCACCCTCCCCTTCTTTTCCAACAACTTGCCCCAAAACCACAATAGCAGCAGCAACGGTCGGCGCCATTGTGCCCATCGAACGTTGGCACCACCATCGCCGCCGACAAAAAGGCTGCAACAGCCTCTGCACAACGAACTCTAACCATTGAAATAGAGCAAGAGATTGAACCCACTAACACACAAGATCCCACCCATTAGCCGCGATCCATGACGGAAGAGATTGAAACACCATTGTCGCAGCCACAACAAGAACCCACTTACACTGCCACCTACTGAAAAAGAAGTGAAGGGATGGCCAAATTCATGTAAAGCGGGTGCATGAAGGGCTCGCCGAAGAAAACTGGAAATTCATATCGTGCCATCCCCAATCTGCTACCGATCGCTTCAAATTAACCAATAATCAAATTAACATTACTCAAAACCTAAATCCAAAAACCTTTTAAGGTGGTTGTGCTTGGTTTTGGGGTATGTTCAAGGATTATGATGATTTTGAAGCATTCACTTTGGTTCTTGTAATATCACCCGATAAATCGAGCTTGCGTTTGTGATTTTGAAAAGGAGCTGAAGGATGAGAGCAAGTAAATACAGTGCCTCCGAACACTGCCTTGGCTTCACAATTTGGGCATTGATCGTAACACAGTTACAATTTCCTTCTTTTGAGGTGGTGGTGTAGGTGGCAGTGGAAGATGGCGTTAGTAACGACTTTTGGATTTGGATTGGATTTGGATTTAGATTTAGATTTGGATTTGGTTTTGGGGGTGGGGGTAGAGGGAAGAAGAAGAAAACCTTTATTTCTTTAATTTATGTTTTTTTTAATTTAATTTTTAATATATTATAATTGTGGTTTTTGTTGAACAAAAATATAAAATTATCATTTTAAACTTTTAAAATTAGTCAAAATTATGGTCAAAATTAATTCTCCAGTCAACTAACAGAAGACATTCATTTGGACTCTATGTGAAAGTTTTTGAGAAATTTGGTATGGTGTGCGCTACAAATTAAAAGTTTGGGTCAAGTCTGTATAAAAGTGAAATGTTTGGTACCATGACTGCAATTTTTCCTTATAATTATAGATAATTGGAGAAGGTAAAATTAAAAATCTGAAAAGCTACTATTTTTCTACTTTTCAAAATATGCTATTAGATGTTCCAAATTCTTCCATTGTCAATTTTTTAAAATTTACAAAGCATCTAAATAACTTTCAATTATTTAAGAATAAGAAGTTGAGCTCCAAAGTCAATCACAAACAGAGCCTTGATATGTGGAATATTATAGACATCCATACAACACTATTTTGCAGCACTCACCCTATTATGTCTAATCACACAAAATATAACTCGTTAAAATTTTATTAGAAAAATCTTAGTGAAAGAAAAAGAGAGTACATTATTCTTTCAATAATAAAAAGATGTCTCATTAAGATCTTTCCCGTTCAAAACTTCAATCAAGAAAAAAATTTATTTTTATTGTGCTTCAACGTTTCAAATGACTTCACGTTCTCACACCACCGTTGAGACTTGTAACCAATTTCTTGATTTGCTAGCAAGATTTTTGTTTAGAAAAATATTTATAGGTTAGAAAAAATATAAAATATAAGAGGCAAGCAACACTTATTTTTACGTGGAAATAGTTTTATGCTTTGTATAAACCACAAAGACAACAAGATTTATTTATTTCGAATCCTAAATTTATAATTTTTCCTTCCAAAAACTCCCAAATCAAGTTCTAAAGAAGAAGAAAACTGTCATCTATTGATACTAAAATGCATCGTTGACCCAAAATCGACTCCATGCATCGGCAGACCTAAAGTCGGACAAATGGGAACTTTGTAATTTTCTATGTAACCAAATTACACCAATTATTTTATTACCGTAAAGGAGGGATTACTCGTTGCTTCCTTGTACTTTGGAACGTTTTTGCAACTTTCCCAGAAGAGTGATGTTACAAGAACATAATTGTCTATATAATGGTTTACATAATTACAAGTGGCATTGATCAAAACCTTTAATTCAAATCTGGCATTTTCACATCAACGACAGGATGATTGGCACATCACATTATGTTATTCATTATGTACATTTACCATGTACACTTAGCATTTTTCCTTCCCAAAATCGTCCAGTTGGCTTATTTAACTCGATCATATTAATATTGCATAATTCAAGTTATTAATAAGTTTTGTATACATTTCATGAAGACCATAATACTGTTAAAATTTGAGATTCCATCTTAAAATATCAACCTTATTAAGAGAAGTAACTCAATCTTTTATAAGTTGATTTATTTTTACATTTTTATTCGATATGAGATTTTATCCCTTAACATGCCGGCGCAAGATAGTGACTCTTTTAAGTAGACCAATCTTGAAATTCGTATGCTCACTTTTGGAGTCTTAACAGGATCTCACTAGAGCTTAATGAGCTTTGATACCATGTTAAGATTTGCGATTCCATCTTAAAAGGTTAACCTTATTAAGATGAGTAACTCAATCATTTATAAGTTGATTTATGTTTACATTTTTATTCGATATGAGATTCTATCTCTTAACAAATACTGTTGTTCGAAGTTATATTACAAATTTGAAGAAATACTCAATAAAGTGATGGATGTACATCGATCATGATGAGTTAGAAGTTCAAAATCTCAAGAACGACATGTTTGAATAAACCTTCTACAAGATAAATAAAGATGAAGACTTGGAGTAGTATGTATCAATACGACATATTTGAATAAACCTTCCACCCCGTCCTACTTTAAGCGGGTATGGGCATGGGATAAGGTAACAAAAAAATTCGACGGGACGGGGGTGGGAATGACCAACACGTTCCATACCCGCCCGTTGCCATCCCTAAGTATACCCACAAACTCCATTATTTATTAGTATCGATCCAAAATGTATACAAAACCAGGAGAACATGTAGCTGTGGGGCACTTGTCACGCGGTTAGTGAGCCTCATGCAATCGAATGAATGTCGAGGTACTGTGAAGAATGGATACTGAATTCGTGCACAATCTCTCTTTTAATTGCGAACTCAAAATACTAGGTAATAATTATTTCTTTATCTCACTTGTTGATATCTCAAAAATGTCAAGGTTAACGAACATTTCATGATTTAGGTCAAATTGGATTTAATTCATTAATGGACATTTAAGTGAATTAAATCTTGCATGATCTCGTTCAAAAGCATGTTAGTGGGTGTTTGGTGGGAATTAAAATTAGATTTTTAGTAGATTGAGATGAGAGTTTTTGAAATGTGTAGTTGAAAAATTGTGGGACCCATGAAATATGTAGTTACTATTAACCTTTGCAGAATAAAGTGTCTTGCCTTATTCACTGGTTATGGACAAATATGTGTAGATCATAAATAATAAGTTGCATCTTCTCTACATAACCCCCAAATGAAACAAACGATCTCTCTCTTCTCATTTCTTGGTAAGGGAGTATTAACACAAAACGAAAGTATTTGAAAATTATCAATGGACAGAAGTTGATAAAACTTAATGATAATTATTCTAATTCTTTGTAAACTTCAAATATTGGGTGGATGAAGGTTTAATTGAATTCTCAAAATACTTGCAAGTTTGAATCCTACATCATACTTCCAGAATTATAACAAGCTTTTCAAGAGGTCACATAAAGAAAATATGTAAGACCACAAAAAAATAANATTGGGTGGATGAAGGTTTAATTGAATTCTCAAAATACTTGCAAGTTTGAATCCTACATCATGCTTCCAGAATTATAACAAGATTTTCAAGAGGTCACATAAAGAAAATAATGTAAGACCACAAAAAAATAATTTTTAGAAAACTAGGTACAGCACCTAAAATTGCTGTTTCATTATTAGTCCATATTTTAGTTCAAGTTTAGGCAAATATTCGAAATACTGGGACAAAGATCTGCATTGTCTCTTTAATTTAAAACCCTTTTCCCGATGTGAAGATTTTATATTTAAGAAAAATGTTAGATGTTTGGTTAGATTATAACAATTAGGCTAAATTAAATTATCTCATCTATCTGTGCATACAGTCATACAGATCAAGAATAAGAAGACGACAAAGCAGTAGATAGATATTACCTCACAATACTCTGAGCATAATAGCATTGACAAGTACTCAAAATCTCACTTAGAAATTGTCTCATTCACAAAGTCAGATCTAAAGTACTAGTCTCCATTCTTGCATGCTTTCTGTGATTTTCCTTTGAGGATGAAGAAAACAAGGACAGAGATAAGCTACTATCAACTACATCATTCTTGGAACTTGTATGATTTCTCCCCTCGATTTCACATGTCGATTTTAGAGATAAATTTAGATCAAGATTCACCTCTGAAAACTTTCTTTTCAATGCGTTTGTATCTCCTTGACCTACCACTGGAGTCTTTTCACTTTGAGGGAACGAAGTTTGAAAATGATTTGTGCGTTCAGACTTTCTATCTTGTAATTTGCTACTGAGATTTGGGTTTGATAAGCTTATTCCAACTTGAGTTTGCCAAAGATTTTGATTTGGGAATACTCTTTCTGGTTCTTTCTGATCATTTTCAAGGGTTCTCCAGCAAGGCACTTGCTTATTCATGTGAAAATCATAACCCTGAATATATCCCTTGTTATCGCCCCTAAAAATCCTCTCAGAAGCAGATCCATACACTTTATTTATAGTACTTGATCCGTTGTGAGAAGGACTATACACAGAATTGGCATGGTGACTCCAAATGGCATCTCCATAGCTTTTGAACAAGATAACAATGAAATTAGGGCTTGCAAAAGTTTAGAGAGGAAAAATTATCCATTTTCAATATGCAATTTTCAGTTCATACATACCGTAAACTCGAAATAGGTGTTTGACTGTAAGTTTGTAGCATTGGAAGCTGACGAAGGTTATAAATATGGCGATCTCCACCATCAAGAAGAATCTGTTGCTCCGAAATAACTGCAAATTATGAAATTTTCAGTAAACTTTAGGAAGAGGTTCACTAGAAACCCTAGTTTTGGAATTATGTATGGATATTTCATACCTTGATTAGGGTCGTCTATCTTCTTGCCTCTGTACATCTGTTCGGAAAGCAATATTAATCCAAAGATTCAGTTGCAAAATTAAAGTGAATCTAAAGTGAAATAAAGCAGAAAAATTCTGATAATTTATTGGATTTTAATTGTCAAATTATAATGACCTGAAGATGGCTCTTGACATGAGCAATGCTAAGGCCTTTAATGTTCATCAATTGAAGAACCAACTTTGGAGTTGCTCCTATACCAATATTATGTAAATTAAAACCTATAAAGAACATTTATGGAGGGGAAATATTGGAAAATTAATAAATTAGGTTAAAAGAAATTGAAGGACTCACTGTCTTGTCCTCCTAGTCTTTCAACTGCATGAACAAAGCAAAGGTGGAGTTCCGGTGTCCATCGAAGGCGAGGTGTTTTTGATCTATTGTACTGCCTTATAGATCCAGAACTGGCCTTTTTTCCATTCTCTTCAACAGTACTGTTGCTTGAGCTGTTCCCATACATGGGTTTGCCTTCATTTTCAGTTTCATCTATCGTCTCTTCATCTTCAATCGGGTTTGTCGGGCTGCTTGTATTGGAATTCTCCATGGTTGATCAAACTCGTTTCGTCTCTTGATTAATTAATCTCTTTCATTCAGAAGAAAATTGTTCTGTCTGTAGAAAGGATTTGAAGGATTCTGGTTGTCACCAAATTTGAGAAATGATATGATCTGGTCTTACTTTTAGCTTAGAGAAGAAAGTAGATGAAGATTTATTCTTAACAAGATAGAAGAATAACACTTGCAGAGAAAGTTGTTAGAATTGGGAATGAAAAATCCTTGTTTTGGAATATAAATAAGACCTCTCTCTCTCTCTTTGTTTACTTTCATACATGCATAATATCCTTCATACATGTGTATGGATGACGATACATGTACACAAAAAATCACTGGAAAAAAGTGAAAATAGTTATAAAAAATAATGAGAGTAACTCGTGACACAAAAAACCTTTCTGAATTCGATTTCTTATTGAGGATGATTGAAGCAAATCCCAATATATATAAAATAAATTTAGCTAAAGAATCCATATCAAAATTCGGAAACATAACAATTGGCGACGGATAAAATTTAAACTCGAATAATAATTGATTTGAGAGATCGTATATATCATTACATATTTTAGACGAACAAACCTACTAATTCTTTGATCGGAGAATGGGTGAGGGCAATCAAAACTTGCATTGCATGTGTGTGTATTGGGTGGGAGGGTGGGGTGGGGTGGTGAGGTTCTAGGAGAGAAGAAGACAAAAGTTTTCATGTCAAGAATCAAGAGAATTTGTCCTTTCTTGAAGTTGAGACTTGGAATTGCTGGCTTCAACAATTATTAAACTTTATATCTACTAAAACCCATTTTTTCTCTCGACACCCCAAAATAAAGAATCTATTCGAATTGACCAAAGGGTTATTTACAATCTCACTGATCTATTAAAATGTTATTTTAACTTTGTCCAAAAGGAAACAATTCAATCACAAACGCTCTCTTCTCATTCCCCCCTCTAATTCTACAAAAATGAATTTGATCCCATAGTATTATATGAATAGTACCAAATGATATACAGTAGAATGGTAGGCGGGCATCTTGCAACTGATGTCACCTCTCTGTCAGTAGTCAGCTTCTTGTCTCCCTGTAGTATAGATTTCTTCAAGTTGAGGCAGAAAATCACAATCGTGCCATTGGGGTTTGTTTAGGAAATAAGTTCTATACGCAACTTTGGAACGAAGAGGGAATTATTTGACCTAGATGACGCTCAGAATATAAAATTAATAATCAACTATAAGATTTTGAACTATACGACTTAACACGCTAATCTTTACTTTATGATGAGATCATAGTGCTCAAAGCTCAAAATGTTCAAATAAGAAATCGGTTCGACTAAAGCTCAAATAAAACATATTGTGGTTTAGATTGATGTTTTCAAGCAAACTATAACCATGCTGCAGGTCATGTTAAAACTAAAATTCAATGACGTTTAAACACAAAAATAATAATGAATGTATACGAATTTGAACTACTATTTTCGATGTATTGTACTCTTTTTAAAGCTTGCAGCCTAATCTACAAGGACCATCAGTGCAATGAAGCTGAAACGATGAAGATTTCATTATTCAAATTTAATAGTTGAAGACCAAGTTGCTAATACCACTAAATGTTGAAAACTAGTGTTGCAGTTTATTATTTGAAGATTAAGTGCCATGTGTAATAAATAGTTCATATTGGATATATATCATCTCTGATTTTCCCTTCTTTTTTTTATTAAAATATAGAAATTTGAAGCAAGTTATTTTTTAGACAAATTCCTGATGATTCCCGGACTATTCTCACGATCAACGTTAAATCAAGCAACGTAATTGACAAACTTAAATGTTACATTTGTTCATGTTTGTCACAAATATTTAATTATTAAGATCTTTGTCTGTAATTTCATGCCATTCATGCTCTCTCTGTCATCCCAATAAATTGATGGTTTTGACCTAATTTTTGAGGGCCCATTTTTTTTGTTGCGTGAAAACACAATATTCTCTGCTCGTGTGAATTGTCAACGAATTTAGTGACTTAGAAATATGGCAGCACAAAAGTTTTACATTTTAACTTGTAAAACGCTTGAGTTCACGAGCATCTTGAGAAAAAATTCAGCCGTCCAAGCAAAATTGGACATGGAAAAAGGCCATCCACTCTTGTGATTTTGTGCAGAAAAGGGTGTTTGCATTTCCATTTTTCACACATTCAAGCGTGAAAAAGTAGCCTCCATCACACGATGATCAATTCCTTTGTGTGCTCGCCTTGAATTGAAAGCCTCAATATAGTCACCCAGGCCGGAATGGATTAATATTAAACGAAAACAAAATTAAACGACTTTTAATTTCTTTTTCTCCTTTACTTATGTTCAATAATGTACGAATTACGCTAGTCAAATTTACATTTCAAGAATGTCATTTGTCTACAAATTCTCTAGTCTCTGAAGGATAACTAAGGTTATATGTGTTCTAAACGGTTTGTCTTGGTGCGGGGCATGAAAGAAAATGTGCCGCCTAGCTCCTAGATGAAAAAAAAAAGAGTTGATCGCATCAGATACTTTTTATTTGACAAGTGGTATTTTTTGTTTTGAAGTTCAGTCCAATGAAAATGCTTAACTACAAGAACGAAGGGAGGGGGACAGCAGTTTCCTAACACGAATGCATACAAAAGTTGTCGTTTGTTTTACTTCGCATGAATTAGTGTTACAAATTACCAATTTCAAATGATGGTAGGAGAGGGGATTGCTTGTGAATATTATTAAATGCAATTTGGTGAGGAAGATTCAGTTCTAGTCACCCAACCTGTAAAGTCAAGCCCCAACAGTACCTGCGTTTTCTTCTGTCAATTATTATTTTTTATTTTTCACATTGAATAATCTTCAAAATTCGTGAAGCTATTAATGCGGATCTATCTATCCTTTTGACATTTTTCAACGGGGTATGTCTGTCTTTTCCATATATTATAATCCCTCCTACCATCATCGTGTACCATGGAACAATGCACCATCATGTATGGGATGTGAATGCATCCATTCATGTATTTTCATGATCTCATGCTGCATATTATGTACTTGTTTGGTGGGGATTAAAATCAAATTTTTAGTAGATTTTGATAAAAAATTGAATAAATGTATTATTAAAAAGTTGTGGAACACATAAAATGTGTTAAAAATTATTTTTTTATATTGATTTAAATTAAAATCTGAATTTTAATCCATACGAGATCTATAATAATTTTACGAGTATCAAATGACCGATCCGGGCCGATTTGGCGGTTGAGTGCCTCATTTCGGCCTTGGACATAACAATTTTATTGTCGAGCTAAGTATGAAAGTAGTTTCAAGTGTCCAACCTTATCAAATATGGAGCTCATTGAGGCGCCGACCATATGAACGGGCAATAGGGTCGGAAGAATCATCTTCAGATTGTTCAAAAAATATGCAAACAAATATAGTGGAGATGTGGGGACCATTTATTTTTATTTGAACAAATTTATGAAGTTCGCAAAACGAGACTTAGCCACTGTTTGGTGACCTTAAAATTTTCAAAACATAGTTTTGAATATTATTTTTGAGAGAATGTATGGTTGAAAATGATGGAAAAGTTATGAGTTTACGAGTAAAATATTTTATTGTGTGAATGTGTGGTTGAAAATAATCATGTAACAAAAATTAAAGAGTAATGTTATTCACCCCAATGGGGTTACAAACACAGTTTAGGTGATTCTAAATGATAAGTTAAATGAAAGGTGAAATTAAATGATTTATTTAATTTCACCTATCATTTATTGCCACATTAACGCCACCTAAACTGTGTTTGTAACCCCAATGGTGATTAATTGCATTACTCAAAATTAAATTAAATAAAAGGCTATCAAATATTAGGGAGAGTCACAACTACCACAATTATAGAATATGTCATAACGTACCATATCAATATTCCCACTTATTCTAAGTGTTACATCTTTAATTCCATAAATAATTAACATTGGGTCTTCCTCATTATAATGAATAATATTAGCCATTGATCCGGCACAAGTTGCTGAAATCCAAAGGTTGATATGCTTCCATATACTTGAATAACCACAGAACATTCAAGTCGCTAAATTTATTATATTCGTATACCTAATCTCCAATACGTATGCATGGCTAAGAGAATATTACTAAAAATACTTCAATAATTGCTGTAAAATTAAAAGGGATTTTTGGTCTCCTTGCCAAACAATTTGATGTGTCCCACGTGAGTGACATCTCACCAGCCATGTTCATTTCCATCACTTTGATACTAATTAATTACTACTTAATGAGGTACTGGAATTTTTAGATGTAACCATACAAGAATGTTGTAATTTTCATGCTGATAAAAGGAAACATAAACCCAATAATGCGGCAAATTTTATGTTAAAAGAGATTCTTAAAAACACCACACTTTTTAAACCTTAATGCGATAATATTTTACTCATAATATTCTTTATTGCGATATCTAGCATACAACATAAGATGGAACAACTAAGACTTGATATTCCGAACCTTCTGCCGCTAAATATATTTTTGACACATCGACATATCATGTAATACACGAGGGTGTAATGTGTCAAGGTATGAAAAATACATCGACATCTTCTCATTTGTTGATGTATCAAAAATGTATTGAAAGACCAAAACAATTAAAAAAATTTCATCAATTCTTTTTATTTAATTTTATTCAGCATGCCTAGCCATTAGGAATATATTTGTTTATTTAAATTCGATATTCAAAAAGCTTCTAATATTTTATCTTGCTCGTATCTTAGGTAAGAAAAAGACAATTCAAGTATGAGATGGAAAACATACTTCTACTATCATGAAATGTTGTGTTATAAAAAAAGATGGTGATGCGTTCAAGAAACTATTTAACTACACATAAACTAGCCTTTCGGACAAGATATTATAGATATTGTCAACATTAGTACGTAAATTGTGACATTAAATATAACTTATAATTAATAATCGGGATTGCTCCTAATAGACACTAAATAAGTAGGTGGCCCTTTA